AAAAAAAAAAATCTTAAAAAAAAAAAAAGATCTAATTTCACCCGAATCTATCTTGGAGAAGATTACCAATAGAAGGCCATGGTATGATTATTTGATAGAACTAATTATTGTACATAAAACAGATCTGCATATAAAATAAAAGAATGTAAGACCAAAAATAATAATAAAATTAAAATTAAAAAATTTTTAAAAAGAATGTTTAAAAAAAAACCTTCTAGATAAATATGATGAAATAATACAACCAACGTATCCATGCTTCTCAAGGTAAAGTCCAAGTTTCATGGTCTGCATCATCAACTCAAAATTTAAGGTTAGTTTTAAAACTTGCCTTTCAAGTTTCAGAGATGGATTATTCAATCATACGGTTAACTAATTTTCATACTGAAAAGGCATGACCACAAATAATCATTAAGAGTCATCAATTATTTAAATAGATTCTAACTGCTATTTACCAATTCTCATCTATTAACTTTTAGAAAAAAGTATTCTTTTTGAATATTCTTTTGAATGAAGAAGTGTATTGCTTCTACAAGATTAACCAGGAACACCTGAGCAGTGTGTGAAACCTGCAAAGTGCATGCATATAGGAGACCAACCCTATGTGGCAAATAATCCTCTCTGCTCACTGTGACAAAGAATTAGCCAAACGAAGGCCCCGAATCAGATGTCACAGCTACTCACAAGAATGGGAACAATTTCCTCAAAACTCACTGAACAGCAGTAATGCTGTATTTTATATTTACAAAAACTCCAATCAGCAATGAGGTGCTCTCGTCAAAAAGGTGCTTTCTCCTACACCTCAACTAGATCTAGCCTCAAACAATATTTGAAATGAAAGAGGTAAAGAAATGCATATCCCCATGCCCGCCACTACAAGGAAAGTGCTGAATACTGTGCAGTGACAGAGACACACATGTGGGTGTCCCCATGAATGGGTGAGTACGTGTACGTGGTGTCTATATGACTAAAAGCCAAAGGCCTCATTCATCTGGTTAGTCATCAATGCTCCATCACAGTTACAGGAATTCAAGTTGTGGGAAGTGTCCAAATGCTAGAGAAAGCACAGTGAAATATGAAAACTTAGGAAAATAAGTTTGTGGAGTCTCCAAGTCCTTTTGATCTTTTCAATTTTTCTGTTCATTTTCACTATTTTCTTTTTTTTTTTTTAAGATTTTATTTATTTATTTGACAGAGAGAGACACAACAAGAGAGGGAACACAAGCAGTGGGAGAGGGAGAAGCAGGCTTCCCGCTGAGCAGGGAGCCTGATTCGGGGTTTGATCCCAGGACCCTGGGATCACGACCCGAGCCGAAGGCAGATGCCTTCGAGCCAAAGGCAGACTGAGCCACCCAGGCGCCCCACTATTTTCTTCTTTCCTTCTTTGTCTTTTCACTTCAACTTCTATTCAGTGACTTTTTCCTTCTCCTTTCTTAAGTAAAAGCTATTGCTTCAGGCTAAAGTGTTCCCAAGTAGTTTCGCCTCTTCTAAGACCCTCCTCACTACATACATACACACCACCCCCTACTTATGTGAGGCAACCAAGGACAGCCAAAGCTATGGGCAGTGGCGTGTGCTGGCACACAGCAGATACACAGTGGTTTTGCTTTACAACGAAAAAGTACTCACTGTTCAAAACCAAACTACCATCAGCTCCAGATACAGGCCTCAGAAGATGTGACATGCCTGTTCAGGGCATACTTCACAGGAAACCTTCAAAGACCGTGCCTGCCACTGATGAGGAGGCAACAGAAGTAAAGCAGTAGAACACATCCACTGCCAGTGTTGCAACCTGTTCTTCCAGTCACGTAAATAACAGGTCACCCAGTCACACAGGCACTCTGAAGACACCCCCAGCAAGTGAGTAACCAGTTAGGTCAGAAAATGACAGCTATCTTACACAAGAGTGGCAGCACTGCCATCAAGGAAGTAATTCAGGGTGTTGATTCAGACTAACGGAAGTAGGGCAAAGGTCTATTCCTGGTACCATTCTCTGGGCCATAGGATGACATCCAGCAGCTCATCAAAACTGCAGCAAGGAGAAAATCTGGGGGCACCTCCAAGCCCGTGGAGTAAGTCTGGGTTTAGTTCTGATAACCCTGGAATAGAAAAACCAGCATTTCCAGCTAGATCTTTCAACACATAAGGAAGTCCCTCATTAGCTGTTCCATGAGGTGCTTCTTAAAATAATTAAGCCACAATCTATCAAAGCCCTGCCTGGACAAAAGGCTTTTGAATGGATCATGTTTCAAACAGTGCTTAGTTTCTCCTATGAGACTAGCACTAACCCTCTCCAGGTTTTCCCCACAGAGTCAGTTTCTACTCAAAACACAAAATTCCCAGGACAAACAAGCAAAGAATAAGTGGATTCTGCACTAAGAAAGACTAGAAGACTGTATGGATCTCTGTGCAATATACCTAAGATCTGACCGGCAGAAAAATGGCCCGTAGTCATCTTGTCCCTTGGGTGGTCCAAAACAACACAGACACTGAGAGCACCCCACAGAAAAAGACTATTCTTTTCAGGAATCAGTCCTGAGCCAGTAAAAGTGTCTAGAGATAATCAATAAAAATGCTACTACCTGGGGCGCCTGGGTGGCTCAGTCATTAAGCGTCTGCCTTCAGCTCAAGTCATAATCCCAGGGTCCTGGGATCGAGCCCCAAGTTGGGCTCCCTGCTCCGCAGGAAGTCTGCTTCTCCCTCTCCCTCTGCCCCCCTACTGCTTGTGTGCTCTCTCTCTCTCTCAAATAAGTAAATCTTAAAAAAAAAAAAAATGCTGTCATTTATGAAGCCCTTGCCATGTGCCAGACTCTGTGCTACCCACTTCCATACATTCCTCATTTCATCCTGATCATGGTGCTGTGAAGCACATGCAAACAAAGCCAGGGTCTGTCTGCTTCTGAAGCCCGCAGTCACCATCCTGTACTAACAAGAACCGAACCAGCCTCGAAAAGAGCGTAAAGAAAACTAGTTAAGCTCCAACTAAATTAATATCGCCCAATTTTAACAGGATTAATACGGGATCAGTTGTCAGAAAAAGAAGAACAGTTTATGGTGTGCAAGGGGGTGGGGTGGGATTAAAAATACCCTCCCTAGGCGTTTCAGGAATGTTATTGCTGGTCATCCTTTAAGACCTACCACACATGCTCTTTCACAAAACCTTCACAGGCTAGCAACAATGTTTTCCTGAAATGCCTATGCTGTCCTCCTACTCCCCCAGGGAATCTGACTTTTTTGCATGTATTTTAGCTATGCATGTATGTGACAACCTCCACCCGTTACACCACAAGCTCCCTAAAGAAAAGATTCTAACTCCAGCTCACACTGGCACAAGAGCCTTGCACAAGGCAAGTGCTCAATGATATGTTTCATAAACAAGTCTACTATTTGGTTTCATTTGTAAAGCCAAACCAAACAAACCAAGTCTACCACACTGTGAACTCTTCAAAGGCTATGTGTTCTCAGCACCAGCAGAGGGCGAATCCTAAACAATGTTTATTTAATAAATCAAACATCATACTAAGATTCGCTCCTTCTAAAATCCATCACATATTCAAACATTGCCACATTAATACCTTTGACAACGATGCTGCTGTTCCAGGTTTTACAAGTTTGCCTCCTGTAGATGCTGAAGAGCTGTTTTCAGGTTTTGTTTTTTCTACTGTTTGCGTTTTGCTTATCCCAGACACTTTAGGCACTGAGCCAACACTCCTGCTTGCTTTCTTCATTCTGGGTTGCCTCTTCGTGATGCATTTACAAGCAAATCTGTGGAAAGAAATGGCATTATACTAAGAACACAACTGGAAGAAAGCTCTTTAGAAATTTATTTCTGAAAATTTTTACCATGCAATAAATAAAAATGTTTGAAAGCTGGGCGCCTGGGTGGCTTAGTCCCTAAGTGTCTGCCTTCAGCTCAGGTCATGACTGGGAAGCAGGAAGCCTGTTTCTCCCTCTCCCACTCCCCCTGCTTGTGTTCCCTCTCTCGCTGTCTCTCTCTCTGTCAAATAAATAAATAAAATCTTTAAAAAAATGTTTGAAAACTAGATACTGATACAGAAAATAAAAAGTTGAAAAGCTCTTAGACTTGCTGATCAGAATGCACCCCACGTTTAAGGCTTCCTCCTTGAATATTACTAACTTGAAACTATTTCTAGTTCAGTCATTAAAAGGAATACCCTAGGGGCCGCCTGGGTGGCTTAGACAGTTTAGGGTCTGACTCCTGATTTTGGCTCAGGTCATGATCTCAGGGTCCTGAGACTGAGCCCACATCCAGCTCCATGCTGAGCCTGGAGCCTGCTTAAGATTTCTCTCTCCCTCTCCCTGCCACCCCCCCACCTGCCACCTGCAGGACCACATGCACGAACTCTCTAAGAAAAAAAAAAAAAAGGGATATCATAGATCTCTAATGGAACTGGCTAAATACAATACAGCATACATTATCCTTAGCAATTAATGAAGCAATAATCATCCTGGCATTTGAGAATTAGCCATTTTGTAGGTATTTAAGTTAAGGGTGAGCATATTTTCTAAATTATCTGGCACAGTCTTAATTTCAAGTATCTGCTGTGATAACCTCCCATAAGCCAGGAGAACATCCCAGAAACTCCAACATTTAGGCTCTAAATATATTTCCCAGCATATCTCTTTTATCAAGAGGCAGTATCAAAATTCCTTATCAGAACGTAAACCTCAGGGGCACCTGGGTAGCCCAGTCAGTTGGGTGCCTGCCTTCGGCTCGGGTCATTATCCCAGAGTCCTAGGATCGAGCCTCGCATCAGGCTCCCTGCTCAGTGGGGAGTCTGCTTCTCCCTCTCCCTCTGCCCCTCACCCTGCTCATGCTCTCTCTCATGTGCTCTCTCTCAAATAAATTAAAAAAAAAAAAAAAAAGGACATAAATCTCAACTTTTTGGTTCAGAAAACAGGACCATCTACATACCTGTAAGGAATGTGACAAGTCTACCACCTAAACAGCTCATGCTTGATTTCACAGCTTAGATGACTTGAAATAACACTGGCAGCACACAAAACTGCACCCAAATAAACGCTTAGATATATCTTTATTAACTAAACTAGAAAAGCAATCCCTACAGTAAGTAATATCAGGTGTGGAAAGATGTCATGGACCAGGTTGGCTTTCACAAAAATGAAAGTCTATTTGAATAGAAACAGTTTTGTGTATGATGACTCTGAGAAACTACTATGACCACAAAAAGAGGCTGTTCTATTCTGTGAAGATTTCTACACACTAATAAAAGTAAACTTACAGAATAACCTTTTGGAAAAGAAAACGCTCGTCCCAATAGCCTTAAGTAGTACTTTACCTACACTGAGGTTGAACACTCCAGATTTATCTTGCCTTGACATAATACAAACTGTACCAACAGGTTTGGTGGCAGGAACACTGAGACAGGGCAAAGGGGGCTCTGCTCCTCCCCTCAACATGGTAAGGCCCTTGAGCAAAAAAGAACACTCTTATTAACAGCAACCAAAACACAGCGAAACCTCGGCAGCAAGTCTATGCTTTCCTCAACTACAGAATGAAGGAATGACACTGGATCCATTGCTAACTCAAAGTACTGTGGAAAAATCAAGCTCCTAAGAACCTTTCCTTCAACTTTTCACTTCCCCTTTTTATTTACCTGCTCTTTTCTAAGTCTCATATCTTATAGATGGTTCCCTGAAGTTTCTTTCTTCTCTTCTCCAAATTCCACACCCACACTCCTTTCTACACCACTCAGACCCTCTACCATTCTCTGCCTACTCATCCAGCTCCTGCCAAATTAAATTTTCCTAATAGAACTGACTGTAATAATAAAAATGTTTTATGTATATCTGTGCTGTCCAATACAGTAACCACTAGCACTTGTGGCTACTGAGCACTTAAAATGTGGCTGGTGTGACTAAAGAAATGCATTTTTAATTTTATTTAATTTTAACCAACTTAAACTTAAAGGTACATGGTAGCTACCATACTGGACAATGCAACAGACTGTCCCTTTCTGCTGCTACCACTTAAAACCTAATGAATTACCACTTTCCGTCCACTAGGATGGCTATAATCAAAAAGACAGAGGGGTGCCTGGCTGGTTCAGTCAGTGAAGCATTCAACTCTTGATCTTGGGATTGTAAATTCAAGCCCCATATTGGGTGTAGAGATTACTTTTTTAAAAAAATCTAAAAAAAAAAAAAAATAGATGGTAACAAATGTTGTAAAGGATATGCAGTAATTAAAACCCTCACATGCAGCTGGAAGGAATGTAAAACTGTGCAGCCGCTTTGGAAAACAGTCTAGCAGTTCCTCAAATGCTTAAACACAGTTACCATATGATCCAGCAAGTCTACTCCTGGATTAATACCCAAGAGAAATGAAAACATTTGTCCACAAATTTATATACAAATATCCACAGACACATTATTCATAATAGCCACAAACTGGAAACAACCCAAACAACCTCAAAAAATTCTCCCAAATTAAACCATAACAGAATTCTTTGTTAGCATTTAAATTTTTACTTATCAACATGTATTTGTTATTTACTGGATATATATTACTATCACATAGTTCTGTTTATATGCCTTCTGCATACAAAATCTTTTTCTTTCAAGTCCAAATGTCTATCAATTGATGAATGGAGAAACAAAATGTGGTATATCCATCCGATGGAATATTATTTGGGCATAAAAAAGAAATGAACTACCAATACATAGTACAACCCTGAAAACATTATACCAGATAAAAGACACCAGACACAAAGAATCGTGTACTGTATGATTCCATTTATACAAATTGTCCAGAATAGGCAAATTCATAGAGACAAAAGTAAATTAGAGGTTGTCAGAGGTTAGGGTAGCAGGAATGGATACTGACAGCTAACGGACACAGGGTTTCTTTTTTGGGATGAAACATTTAGAATTAGACTGTGATAATGGCTGTGAATATACTGAAAACCAGTGAATTTTACACTTTAAAATGGGTGAATTGGGGGCGCCTGGGTGGCTCAGTTGTTTAGGCGACTGCCTTCGGCTCAGGTCATGATCCTGGAGTCCCTGGATCGAGTCCCGCATCGGGCTCCCTGCTCGGCAGGGAGTCTGCTTCTCCCTCTGACCCTCCCCCCTCTCATGTGCTCTCTCTCTCTCATTCTCTCTGCCAAATAAATAAATAAAATCTTTAAAAAAAAAAAGAAAGAAAAGTAAAATGGGTGAATTGTGTGGCACATGAATTATATCTCAATAAAGTGGTTATAAAAACAAAACAAAAAACACCCGGGGAGCCTAGCTGGCTCAGTTGGAAGAGCATGCAACTCTCGATGTGAGTTCAAGCCCCAAGTTGGGTGTACAGATTACTTAAAAATAAAATCTTAAAGGGGAGTCTGGGAGGGTCAGTTGTTAGGCGTCTGCCTTCGGCTCAGGTCATGATCCCAGGGTCCTGGGATTGAGCCCCGCATCGGGTTCCCTGCTCAGCAGGAAGCCTGCTTCTCCCTCTCCCACTCCGCCTGCTTGTGTTCCCTCTCTCGCTGTGTCTCTCTCTGTCAAATAAATAAATAGAATCTTTGAAAATAAATAAATAAAATAAAATAAAATAAAATCTTTAAAAAAAAAAACCTAATGAACATCAAACAAGGACTTCTAGAAAGTAGATCCGAACATTATAAAATACCCGATAAGTCAGGGCGCCTGGGTGGCTCAGTCGTTAAGCGTCTGCCTTCGGCTCAGGTCATGATCCCGGGGTCCTGGGATCGAGCCCCACATCGGGCTCCCTGCTCGGCGGGAAGCCTGCTTCTCCCTCTCCCACTCCGCCTGCTTGTGTTCCCTCTCTCGCTGTGTCTCTCCCTGTCAAATAAATAAATAAAATCTTAAAAAAAAAAAAAAACCGATAAGATAAAGAGAAGGACTACAGTTTTGCAAAGATCAGAGAGAAGACAAGCAGCATAGCCAAAAGCTTTAAAAATGCTGAGATACACACTGGTCCAAGACACTGGCAGCTTGAGATCTTAGATCTTAGACCACTCATTCTTACCCACATTGGACCCAAAGCTCCCTTTCTCCAACAAATATGTAAATATACCTTTACTACTGAAGTGGAATCCAAAGCTAACTTATTTATTATATACACACAGGTACTTTCTAAAAATATCTACATAATATGGCAACTAAAACATAAAAAATAAAAATAATTTGTAATAAATGTGAATTCCAATATGTGAATTTTCAAGCAAGACTATATGAGGAATAAAAGAGTAAGAAATCCACACCTCTAAGTTAAATCACTGTGAATTTGACTACAAAGAGTCTTGACTTGGGCAGTTTGTAGTACTGAAACTCAGATACCATGCCATCTATCATGCATGCTATCAACAATGTGATTTTCTAAAAGGATGAATCACTCTTAGTGTGATGGTTAATTTTATATGCCAACTTGACTGAGCCATGGAGTGCACAGACATTTGGTTAAATTATTCTGGGTGTGAGGATGTTTCTTTTTCTTTTCTTTTTTTTTTTGAATAAGATCTGGTTTTGTTTTGTTTTTAGGTTTTTTTCGTGAGGATGTTTCTGAATGAGATTAACATTTGAATTTACAGAGACTCCTGACTCTTTGAGTTGGGATGTTGGTCTTTTCCCATCTTTGGACTCCACTTGAAAAATTGGCTCTTCTTCCGTCTCAGTCCCCTCAACTTTCAGACTTGAATTTACAAGTGATTCTCAGGCCTTCAGACTTGGACTGGAACTTACACTGTTGGTTCTCCTGGTACTCAAGCTTGCCGATTGCAGATCCTGGTCCTTCTCAGCTTCCATGATCATGTGAGCCAACTCCTTATAATAAATCTGTGTGTGTGTGTGTGTGTGTGTGTGTGTCTAGATCCTACTGGTCTGTTCCTCTGGAGAACCCTGACTAATACATTTGGTAAAGCTGAAAACAAAACAATTTCTCCTCAATGTCTACAGTAACTGCATTCCTGGAAAATTCCATCTATACCAAAATTACACTTAAAAAATGCCCTCTTTGTGTAAAATGGAATTAGATTCTAGGCTCAGTCATAAAGTTTTTTTCTTTTTTTTTTAAGATTTTATTTATTTATTTGACACAGAGAGATAGCAAGAGAGTGAGCACAAGCAGGGGGAGCGGCAGGCAGGCAGAGGGAGAGGGAGAAGCAGGATCCCCACCAAGCACGGAGCCCGATGTGGGGTTCAATCCCAGAACCCTGGGATCATGACCTGAGCTGAAGGCAGCTGCTTAACGGACTGAGCCATCCAGGCGTCCCATAAATGGTTTTTTTCTATCTACGTAAATCATTCAACAAGATATTCCAAAGTTGTGGCAGATGACAGGAAAAGTTTTGATTTTGCAGAACTGATACTTCATTGAGTCTAGAATCCCATGGCCCCTACTTACTAAATTTCAATAGCAACCACCAACCATTGAGATGAGAAAAGCTTCCATGATTTTCTAAAATGACCCCTATCTAAGGGCAAAGATCCTCAAAAATGGATTCTAATTCACCAGCGGATCTTGTCCCCTACCTGGTTAAGAAGAAGGAATCGCTAACCTTGCCTCTCGAGTCCCCTGAGCATGGGAGAGATTACAGAGTAGAGGGAAAGGACCAGCACAGTTCATAGCACTTCAAGTGTCTAAAAGTTGAAAAAAGGAGTAAAATTTTTTAAAAATTAAAAAAAAAAAGGGACGCCTGGGTGGCTCAGTCAGTTGGACATCTGCCTTCAGCTCAGGTCATGATCCTGGGGTCCTGAAATCGAGTCCTGCGTTGGGCTCCTTGCTCAGCAGGAGCCTGCTTCTCCCTCTTCCTCTGCCTGCCACTATCCCTGCTTGTGCTCTCTCACACTCTCTCTTATTAACAAATAAATAAATAAAATTTAAAAAAAAAAAGTTGAAAAAAGGGGTGTGGTGTAAGTTACTACTATCCCTTCCCCAATCCTGCTCAGGGCTGTCATCAGTACCCGGCACTATTTCTAGTCCAGAGAAGTCAAGGTTTGGGAGGAATAAAAAGTAGCTCTCCTCACAATAATAGTATGGATCCTGCCTCTATAAATACTAAGAATAATCTCCAACTACAATAAATCCATGAAGTGGGGTGCCTGGGTGGCTCAGTCGTTAAGCGTCTGCCTTCGGCTCAGGTCATGATTCCAGGGTCCTGGGATTGAGCCCCGCATCGGGCTCCCTGCTCGGCAGGAAGCCTGCTTCTCCCTCTCCCACTCCCCCTGCTTGTGTTCCCTCTCTCGCTGTGTCTCTCTCTGTCAAATAAATAAATAAAATCTTTAAAAATAAATAAATAAATCCATGAAGTATGTTTGATGTATTTCTCAAATAATATTTCTTAAAAACATCAAAACGGATGCAGTGCTCCCAAAATAGGGAAAGGCACTAAAGGCCTTGAGCCCCTCCCATGTGGCCGGCATCATGTCCCAGCTGTGCTGTACCTGGTACAGTTCACTGAATCCTCACAAGAGCCCACATAGGCATTGACAGAGGCTCAGACAGAACTCACTCTCTCTGGGTCACCATTCAGTAGTCTGAATCCAAACCCCATACCCTGCCCACTGCTCCATACAGTCCCCAGTGCAACCACACACAATAATTCATCAGGAATGTGCAGTTTTCATCTCAATAAATATTTCACAAGATACGACCAAAATGTAACAACACTAAAACTATACTGCTCAATCTGCCCTTCTAGATTTATCTACTTGTCCTTTGGATCAGTGCTGATATTCTTGACCAAATTTTTTTCATTTTGAAGGTACTGTCATGTTATTTAATATAAAACCTATCGTTTTTAGAGCACAAAATTTATCGCCAGCTCTAAATCAGTATGTACTAAGTTACAGCTGTAAAAATAAAATTCTTAGCTATAAGCATATTAATTTATAGATACCTGCTACTTTTTAAAATTTAAAATAGTTATTTGTTAGGCATGGGCAGAGACCCAGCTGCCCTCATTTTACAGAAATAACCCTGCATTAAGGCTGCAGTCTGGGTGGCCAGAACTCTCACAAGGATGTCCCTGTACTTGGGCTCCCCAGGACAGGATTTACAGCTCCAGGAGCCCTCCCTAAAGCTAATTACACATCCACAGCCACATAAGTAGCTTGAGTTTCCTTTACATCTACAAGGAGATCACATAATTAAAACCTACTGAGGAAAACAAATAAAGGGCCATCTCTTACCTGCCAGATATGGTAGATAAAATACTACTTAAAAGTCAAAGCACGGGGCGCCTGGCTGGCTCAGTTGTAGAGCATTCGACTCTTGGTCTCAGGGTGGTGAGTTCAAGCCCCATGTTGGGTGTAGAGATTACTTGAAAAAAAAAATCAAACCACAGACTCTTAAAAATGGTAAATATTTTGGAGGCCATTAATAGGAAATCCTGCATGCAACATCACTGACAAATCTTCTAATTACAAACATCTACTGTTGGAGGAGACTACTAAAAAGTTCTGAAGCAAGTCATTATTTACTCAACATTCACTGAATACTTACTTTGTGCCATGGGAAATGCCACTTCTCTAGGACACTAGTCACACAAGGCATGAATAAATACATGGACACATAAAGATAATTAAGACAAAAATAATACCTACTTTCAAGGAGCTCACAGTTTAGTGGAAGAAACAAGATACAATAAAAAAACAGTGAAGAGGACCCCATCCTTCATAAATTTTGCTGACAAAATAAGGTAAACAGATATACAAGGCACAATGGCAGTAGAAAGAGCTAGTCCTTGGTTCTGCCTCTAGGGAACGGGGTGAGAGGTACACCTCACAGAGTTGTGAGAAAGCATGGGCTCACTTGAAGGACTCTAAGAACTTGGGTCTGGTTAGAATACAGAAATGTCAAAAGGACTAGTGGGGAAGGGCCCAGCAGGCCTTTGTCTGAAACTGGATAGCAAACTACAGACAGACTAAAGTCAGTGCAGCCCTGACTCGGATTTACAAATCCTAAAGATGAACCTGGTGCTGGTGTGGAGGATGGGCTGAAGGGGCATAACATGCTGGTGGGGCTCAAGCATGAGAAAGCCTGATCGTCATCTTCTTCCCTGTAACTCCCTTCCTCTGACCTGACTCCAAGCTCAAAAGTACCATTCTTGGGGCGCCTGGGTGACTCAGTCAGTTAAGCGTCAGACTCTTGATTGCAGCTCAGGTCATGATCTCAGGGTTGTGCGATCGAGCCCAGCGTTGGGCTCCATGCTCAGTGCAGAGCCTGCTTGTCCCTCTCCCTCTGCTCCTCCCCCCGCACTCTCTCTCACAAATAAATAAAATCTTTATTTATTTATTTTTTTTAAGATTTTATTTATTTGACAGAGAGACACAGCGAGAGAAGGAACACAAGCAGGGGGAGTGGAGAAGGAGAAGCAGGCTTCCTGCTGAGCAGGGAGCCCAATGTGGGGCTTGAACCCAGGACCCTGGGATCATGACCTGAGCCAAAGTCAGATGCTTAACGACTGAGCCACCCAGGCGCCCCTAAACAAAATCTTTAAAAAAAAAAAAAAAGTACTACTCTCGTCCCGCAGCTCTCCCAGGATCTGAAGACCACCACAGTGCTAGTTTAAGCCTGCCTTTCTTCCACCATCAACCCCATGAATCTCCAGCCACGCCTCCAGATTCCACACCATCTGTGTCCATTGGCAACTTGGTACATGGGCCCTCGGAACTGGGCACAGATGCTACACAGATCTGGTCTGGCAAGCAGAGCTCAGTGTGATATTACTTCTCTTGATCTAGACGCTGAAGCTCCTCTTAACTTAAAGAAAGAAAAGCTGCCTTTCTAGGAACTACCAGAAGCACACACTGAGTTCATGGTTACCTAATACTCACAAGTCTTTTTCACGCAAATGGCCACTGAGCTGCTTTTTCCTCTTTTTTTCCCCTAACATTTTATTACAGAAATTTTCAAACACATGGAAATGTTGAAGAAATTGTAAACACCTCACTGTTCTCCTTTTCATAGCTGTGTAATTTATATTCTGAAAAAAATTACACCTGTGTCTGATAAAATTTTCATTTGGTCCAATTCAGCTCAAGGCTTCAGTCTTTAGGATATCTTAAAATTCTGACTTTGACTTAAAACCACAGTTCTCCCTCGAACAAGTGCTGTCTTTAACCTAAGTCACATATCCACTCAGGATCCTCATCTACAATACAAGGAGGCTGGATTCTAAGGTATCTCAAAGGTACCTTCTGACTCCAAAAACCTTCTAACTTAGTAAAATTCACAGAACTGATGACAATGTTACATAGGTCCGAGCAATGACAAGGCTCCCTCCAGGTCTCAGAAACAGTAGCAGAGTACTGAACTGAAGTCAGGAGAGCTGGGTTCAAGCTCCAGTTTTGCATACAAGCTGTGTGACTGTGGGCAGATCTCTTAATCACCTTCTATCTTTTCAACTCTGTCTTCTCTCCTGTAAAAGGAGCTGATAAAACCTAACTGTAGAGTTCTTGGACAAAATAACATGTATAGACAAAGAAAAAAAACAAAAATCCTGATACACTCATTCCAGGGGAATTCACTTTGCCACGGTGCAAAGGTCAGGGGGGGAAAAAGGTGCAACAACCCAAGATCAGGAATGGGAATTTATCTCAGTGATTCAGAAACTCCATCCTCCCCAACCACCCACCTATGAGGAGCACACCAATCAAGTTTCAAAAATAATGCCAAAAGGACCTTGAAATTTTATCTTTACTGTCAGGATACTGCATCAAGAAGGATCTACACTGAGTGGAGAACACAGACTGTCTTGGGAACTGCCAGAGAGCTAAGGCCCCTCCCTCACGGAGAAGCACCTTCAGCCCTGACAGCCCTCTCTCTTCCTTCTACACTCACACTAGGATTTTTTTTAAGATTTTATTTATTAACTAATTTATCATTTATGTATTTATTTATCTGACAGAGAGCACACATGTGAGAGAGCAAGAGAGCACAAGTAGGGGTAGCAGCAGAGGTAGAGGGAGAAGCAGGCTCCCCACTGAGCAGGCAGCCCAATGCAGGGCTCCATCCCAGGACCTTGGGATCATGACCTGAGCCGAAGGCAATGCTTAAGGCAACGCTTAACCAACTGAGCCACCCAGGCGCGTGCCCAGTCACATCAGGATCTTGACAGGGTCACTACTTTTTCCTTTGACTGCCTCCTATTCACCTCCAATTAGAACTTCTTTTTCCTTCTGTTATGCAAAATATATTGCTATTTAAAACTATTTAATTTTGTTATTTAATTGATATTCTTAAATCTACCGTGCTTCTTTAAAACAGCCAGTATCCCAGAGACTGCCCTATCTTGCACAAACAAATGTATCCCTGGGCAAGTTACTCAACCTCTCTGAAATCTCAGTTTCCTCATAGGTAAAATGGGCTGCTAATGCTACCTCCCTTATAAGGATGTTGAGAGGATTAAATGAAGTAATGAACCTAAACTGCCTGGCAGGGTGACAGCCCACAGTAAAGATGGGATAAATGTGAGCTATCATAACATAGAGAAGAACACACTGCATGCCCCAAGTATGACTAATGCCTTATTAAAATAAAAGCAGCAATTCAAAAGACACTTTGTAAGAGAAACCCTTTATAAGGAATGACTAAAGACTGTTTATACTCACTACTTACATTAAATTATATACTATTGCGCATAGATGTCAACAAACAACGCTTGCTTCTGGTTCTTTCCCACTGAAAATTATATATCAGGAAATACTGAAAATATATGCTAGGGAGTTCACTGGAATGATAATCAAGAAACCTGGATTGTGGTCACAAGCCTGACAAGTCTGCATGACCTTGATAAGTCATGCTAACTCTGTGAGCCTTGTTCAGAAGGCAAGGAGGATGGATTAGGATCTTTCAGAAATTCAAAAATTCTATTTCATATTTTATACCATTCAGAACCAGGAATCAAAACTACTTTTAAAAAGGAAACTGCTGATTAGGTATAATTTTTTATGCCATTCAATATCCCACCAAAAATCCAAAAAGGGTTTCAACCCAAACAATCTAGATACATTTCTCTTTTATTTCACAAGCTCCATATCTGAAATGTAGGGATTATATTAAAATGTAAAATAAAGGGCGCCTGGGTGGCTCAGTCGTTAAGCATCTGCCTTCGGCTCAGGTCATGATCCCAGGATCCTTGGATCGAGACCCGCATCGGGCTCCCTGCTCAGCGGGAAGCCTTCTCCTCCCTCTCCCTCTCCCCCTGCTTGTGTTCCCTCTCTCACTGTGTCTCTCCCTGTCAAATAAATAAATAAAATCTTTAAAAATAAATAATAAATAAATAAAAATAAAATAAAATGTAAAATAAGAACAGACTTAAAACATTGAGGAGAAGGAATCACACAGTCAAGGGAAAACTGAAATTTAGAAAACTAGACACACCGGAGTCAGTAACTACATGTTCCTAAATGAATCAAAACCAAAAACCAATCTGATAAAAGCATGTGGGCTACAAAAACCAAACAGAACACGGAAGAAATTCAGTAAGAAATGTTTTAATTAGATAAATCCTAATGCAACAGACTGATCCAATAGTGAATTCTTCGACACATACATGTTTCTAACCCTTCTTTTGTGAATTATGACACAGAATCAGAAACGTGCATTTAAATGTACACATTTTACAGACCTGGAGCGAGACTCCATTGAAAAAGTCAAGGTTTACTCAAAGGAAAAGCGTGAGCCCTGTCATGTCAAAACCCTGCCCACGTGCAAGTGGGTGTGTATGAGAGATGCAGGAAACAGGGAGAGGAAGGAGAGAAGCCGAGGAGAAATGCCTTTGGACATACAATTCTCTACTTAGTCTGGATCCACATACAAAAGTCCATTAGTGCCCAAAATACTTCAATGGTTACTAAGCAGCTGACAATTTTCAAATGCTTATTTTTATGGTAAAACAGTACCTTCTCATTTTTAATACCAATTTTTGTAAAGTTTATTTATTTAAGTAATCTCTACACCCAACTTGGGGCTCAAACTCACGACCTCACGACCTTGAGATCAAGAGTCACATGGTCTTCCCACTGAGCCAGCTGGGTGCCCTGACACTTTATTTCATGCCTAAAATCACGGTGTGATTATCAACTAAAGTGCACATTTAATATGGTAGTTTGTCCTGTTATGGTATTGTTTCCAGAAATCAGTGATCCACATTATGACTTATTGAGGTGGAAAGGTGGCATTCAGATCCACCTCTTCTTCTTCAGTTCCACCTCCAGCCCTGAGAAGGAAGGAACTTCGCCTCAGTGTCCTCTCCTTACCAAGGGGTGTACCGCTCTTAAACACCCCCATGGTC